TTATATACTACTAGTTATATAATATTCATGCTCCTTTTTGGAGATAAAGGAGAGGTTTCACATTAATTTATGTATGGATTGTAATTTGCTTTTATTTCCAATGATCAGATATGAATGCGAAGCTTTTATATTTCAGACATGAAAGCACTATTTAAATAACTATAATTATCGTTATTATTATATGCTGTTGACCCAAGTTGATCGAGCATGCTCGATACAATGCTGGGATGTTGCATTAACAAAAGCTGGAATGAGCAAACATAATAGATAATGATTGGCAAAAATCAATATATTTGAAATTGGAATTGCTGATAGGATAATATAAAAAAGAAAAAAATTTAAAATGTATAGGCCTACTGTTAATATTTGGAAAACCTCCCTCCCCATTTAATTTAAGACCCTTTCAATTTAAAACCCCTCTCCTTTAAATTTAAATCCCCTCCCCATTCACTTTGAACAATTATATAAAGTAATTTACAGTGAGAGACAGATCATTATAAAAATACTATTTTTTTATTACTAACTCATTACCAAAAGTCTTTATGGAGAATTATAAATTTCTGTTTCAATGATGGCGTGTAATATGAACCGTCTCTTATGTAAGGTGGTGCATTTTATATAAGGTCATGCATCTTGCATTCAGCTTCCAGCAGAACAAGGAGCTACAATGGGGTCGAACCAGGGATCAACATATAGGATCACTAAATTCAGTGCACTCAGACAGGCTACCACCAGTTAACTGACTTAGCTAAAGTGTTTTTCTATGATTTTTTTTTTTGAGCACTTGATTGTTTGGCTAGGGATAATACATTGAATGATTGTGTCCTGTTAAACACAATCACTTTTTATTTTGGTGCATCATATTTACATAATGTGATGTACTTGTGTGCCCATTGATTGTGTTCTTCTTCAGATAGCAGCTGGTAGACTAATTTAGATATTATCTATAGGCTTATCCTTGCCTACAGTATATAATATTTTACTATATGCAAGTTTATTAGGATCTGAGATCCTATCTGTGATAATTGTACTGTACAGTTTAATTCAAACTATTTGAAATACGTAGGACACTACTTGAAATCTATTGTTTATCATGCAGTAAACATTTTGGCATTGTATCAACATGCAGCTGATATGTGAAAAGGTTATGTTGTTGATGTATTTATTGATAGTCAGATGGAATTTTATTGTATATACATTTTCCCACCCCCCACTCCCCACGTATTGAGGAATATGATGATTAAAGAAAGATGATAATGATGAGATGAGGATGAGACAATAGTTAGTTTTCGCCGCACAACGTTAACCTTAATGGTAACAGATGACGTCATAATTTATTCATCTTGCGTTGCAGAGTTTCGTTAATTTCAGGATTTTACATGCCTCGACATCTGTGTATGCATGTTCCTATTCCTTTACAAAAGGGGCGGAGCTATCACGTTGCATATTGGGTGCTAACATTTTAACATCGTGTGGCGAAAACTACTTAATGATGGTGGTGGCGACAATGACAAAGTTCATGACATGCTGATAAATAAGAGTGAATAATAATTATAAGAGATAGTGATAACAAAGTTATAGTTGATATGATGATGATGGTAGTGATAATGATAAGAAAATTATGGTGATAACAACAAAGAAGTAAATAATAGTTATAATCTTCTTATCGTCGGAGTCTATGCACAAATTTAACATGGTTGAACTATGTTGGTTTATTTCTAAAACTAAACGATACGATGTGCGTGTATAGTGGTGAAAGGATTGGTAGGAACAGGGCCACGACGTGAACACTCCTTTGTTGGCATAATAATAATGATAATAAAGGTATAATTAATTATGATGATGAGATGATGATGATAATGATATAATAATCAATATAAAATATGATGGCAGAAGTGGAAGTGATTTATTGATGAATAATAATGATTATATATCTAACGGTGAAGAAAGGTGTCATTGTTAAGGATAATTATAATGTACATTACAGAAGTGATTATGATGATAATCCATATCATTGTATGCTTTTTAAAAATGAGCATTCTGGGAAATCTTCTTAAAGGATATTTTAATTGCTCACTTTAAAAGGATGAAACCTAGTAATATTATTTTATTAACTTCCAATAATGAGACGTAGAAAAACTCATTTATTGCTGATTTACAGAGTTTTTACTAAATCATCTTAAATGAAGTTGATTTCCATTTAAAATTGTTGACAACCACATTGATTTAGTTTTTAAAATTAATAATTAACTAAATAAAAAAATAAAATTTGAGTTAAAGGTGTTTAAGCTTTGAATTTTATTGTTGTGTCGATGCGCCACGAGTCTCTTTTCATATGGATACCAGCGCAAAACAAATTTTCAGTATTGTTATTATTGAGGGTTGAGGCTATGCACAAAATATAGCATTGGTATTAATTATGCATCTATTGTCAAGAAATATTTCTTTGTTTAATTTTCATTTGAAAACTAAATTAAGGTACTTAATGAAGTAAAGCAAATTTGATATTTAATTAATTTATTTATTTTATTTATTTATTTTTCAAGGCAACTAAGCACAGTGTCTTTAAATGATGGTGATTATTATAATGATAAAATATTATGAAATTAATACATTTGATGTAACTTGAAGATAATTACCATTTGTAATTTTTAAAATACAGTATTATCATTTATTTCTGGATTATAATTTGATAGAGTAGTCGTGTATAAGATTAGCGAATGATCTGCGGTCATTGGTGCGTGATAGCTGGTAAAAATGCTACTCTTGTGGTGTACGGCATCTTCATCTCTTGGGAGAGAGAAAGCACTGTTGCGATTACATATTATCATGTCTGCAACTATAAATGTTGCATGTTTTTAGCCTTTAATAGATGTTTGTCGCCTTTGTGAATGCGCCCATTTGTCATTGGAAAATGTTTACCAAGGCATGGTAAAAATGGCATTTAATATTGATTGAGTCATCGCTATATAGTATGCAAAATGATACAAGATTTAGGTTTTTTATATAAATCGTTAAATATCTTCATTAACTTAATATGTAGGCCTACTAATTTCTATTATCAGTAAACAGTGGCTGGGCGTTTTTTTGGGTGGGAGTGTGTGCACCTCTACCTGCACCCCTTAGATATGCGACTGACAGTAAATGCTTACAACTGTACATTTGCTTGAATTCCCTTAAAATTTTATAGCAAAAACATTGGAAAACTTACTGCAATATATGAACCTGATCATGCCCATGTATATAGGATTTTTATATACTGAGAGCACACGTACAACTTCAAAAAAGAATTGCTCAAGGCAATCATAACAAAAATTGCGTACTATTAGTAAATATGAAACTAAAATTTACCATCCTCTAATGAATATTAATATGTACTTAAATACAGTTAGTTGTTTTTCAATTACTGTAAGGTTCGCATAACACTATGAGCACGAAGGTAAAGTTATAAATAAAATCCCATATAATAACCTTAAGGTACAGTGTTGCAAATCAGTTAAAGACACTGTATGTACTACTGAGTAATGAGTAAAACATTTGCTTAATCTATTTGCATGGCGTGTTTAGTTATGCAACCAGATCTATGGCCTTATGTATTCATTATGCACAGGATAAGACATGCCTTTAATAATGTTATCAAATTGCTTCAGTACATTTATATTGTATATGTCATCAATGCTGCCACCGTGATGAGATCAATAATTTTATGAGATTTTTCATGTACATCCGTATAGGATACAAGATAATTTGTTTATCATTTATCGTAAAATATGTGCATGAAAGTTTCTTTGATGGATAGACATTTAAAAACAAAAATATATACATGCAATAAAATCTAATAAACTTGAACTTCGAAAAAAAGTAACTATAAGTGTTTTTGTTTTTTTTAAAGCTTTTATGATTCAATAGGTTATAAGCTTTTAAATAACAAACCAAAACAAGAAAAACAAATTATTAAAATTTACAATGTTTAAATAATATTTTACCATTACAGTAAATCTTTGCATATAATATGCCATCAAATTTAAGTGTTTTTGTAGTAAAATATTTATTAATCATTGTCAAAACTTTTTTCTTAAATTTGTGACTTATTGAATGTTGATATTCTTTTAATTATTAAGAGGGGTTTTTTTCTCATTTGGTGGGGAGGGGGTGTGTGTAATCTGTAGTTACTGGATATTTGTAAATTTTATATCTTGAAAATTATTTAAAATCTAAAAACTTCAAGAAATTTTGCCAAAATGCATACAGTACTATATTTAATGTAATTAATAAAATACATCAAAATAGTAGATATCTCATGTTCCTCTGTTTATTCGAATATATTATTATAGTTGTTTGTTTTCGTTTTTTTTTTTGCAGTGGTTGCTGTATCATTACTGCTATATCTCCTATTTGGTTACCCAGTCCTGCGAGTCATTATTTATTATCCAATAGGAATAGTCTTGTGTTTGGTAACATACCTCTACCCGACATATGCCAGGTATGATTATTTTCAGTGTACAGAGTGTTTCCGTCTGTCTGGGTAGAAATACAAGCAAGCTCACACCAGTATATATGGACCATGGCATATTTTCTAACTAGGTTTTACTGTAACTTTTATCACCAAGCAATTCAAATTATCTTTCTAATTAATGAAATATTATTATATTATTTAAATTTATTAATTAATATATTATAATAATTAATTAATTTAATATTATTTAAATTTATTAATTAATATATTATAATAATTAATTAATTTAAATAATATAATAATATTTTATTAATTAGAATGATAATTTAAATTGTTTGGTATATTTGATATATTCAGAATATTTGATATATTCAGAATGGTAATTATTGTTTAAAATAATATTTATAAATTGGTGTAATTATAACATCAATTTGCCCATACCTGTACTTGTGAATTCCACACATTTGGATCACTCATGAATATGGAAACTACATTATGACTTATACAGTTTTCAAACTCATAACTTTAACGTTAAACATGGTTTGATTTTTACCACAGCTTGAGAGTAATTAAAAGCGGAAATATAAAGACAAATGAGATCACGCAATGGGTAGTGTTTTGGATTGTACTCGGACTGTACAGTGTCTTTGAATTCTTTATCGTAACAAACAGCGCATTTGGAATCATTGAGTATCTCCTGCAATGCCTCTTGGCCTGGTTTCCACTCTATTACTTCTGTCTCTTATACACATCTAGATGTGTATAAGAGACAGCAGTAAATGCTTACAACTGTACATTTGCTTGAATTCCCTTAAAATTTTATAGCAAAAACATTGGAAAACTTACTGCAATATATGAACCTGATCATGCCCATGTATATAGGATTTTTATATACTGAGAGCACACGTACAACTTCAAAAAAGAATTGCTCAAGGCAATCATAACAAAAATTGCGTACTATTAGTAAATATGAAACTAAAATTTACCATCCTCTAATGAATATTAATATGTACTTAAATACAGTTAGTTGTTTTTCAATTACTGTAAGGTTCGCATAACACTATGAGCACGAAGGTAAAGTTATAAATAAAATCCCATATAATAACCTTAAGGTACAGTGTTCTTTATGATCAAAGGCCACAAAATGTAAAGAGGTTATCACAGAGCTTTAGATGAACCTACAGATGCCAAATAACAACATAACCATCAGTGCATATCATCTTTGTGTGAATCAGTAACAATACATTTTATCTGATTTCAGTCATGTGTGTTGCTTTGGTGTATGGCACCCATTGAGAGTAACGGGGGCATTATTCTGTACGACAAGCTGCTGTTCCCCCTCTTGGCGAAACATGAGAAAGAGATTGAGAAGAACTTTGATAAAGTGAGAGATCTCCTGACAACCAAGAGGAAGCCAGATGCAGAGACACATTCTGACTAAAGGTGTGCTAATTTGTGTTCTGGCTGTTTTTTTGGTTTTTTTTATTTATTCTTTAAATACTAAGTATGAAATTACTTCCAAATATATAAAGTGATAAACAAAACCAAGGTGAAGGTTTAAAATGAATGGAATTAAATTCATACCCTCCACCTCCAATTAACCATTGTCATCATCAGTTTAATATATAATAATAATAATAATAATAATAATAATAATAATCTTAGTTATTAGTTTATTGTCCAGAATATGCTGAATGATGCACTGTGTCTTAAGGTTTCTTGGGTGGATAATGGACCCAATATAGCAGTGTACATTTTTTTGCTATGCCATTTCCCTCATACACCATAAATGCAAGTAAGGTGTCTCAGTGGTGATGACAGCAGAGGAAGGGACTTAAGTCCCCTGTCAGCCTTGACTTGTTGCACCAACAAATCAGAGAATACAGGGCAAAGGAAAGCTCAAGGTCTTTAAGGTCTTTAAGTCAAGCGGCCGAGCGATAAGGCAGGGGTGCCACTAGCTACAGCCTTAACATCAGCACTGGTTTTTAGCTGCTCCTCGCCCATGGTTCGGTTGGTAGAACCAAGTCTTCTCGATAAGGACTTAAAATGGAGGTCCAGTGTATACATCTGGCTCGTGTACACTTTAAAGAACCCATTGCATCTTTCGGAAGAGTAGGGGGTTACCCCGATGTTATGGTCCATTTCAGCCCCTTTCGTTGTGAAATGATGTGAACATGTATCTACCATGAAGCGCCTCTTTACAGCTGCTAGTTCGTCACTGGCCACGCCCATACACAATCCAGGGTACAGTACAGTATTCAATACAGGGTTTGAATAATGAATAAGTGAGTTTGAGAGACAGTGCAAGTGAAATGAGTACAAACAATGATTGATAATAATAATAATAATAATACTCAAACATTTATAAGGCGCCAATTCCAAATTGAATGATCAAAGGCGCGAGCATTATTACCCCTGGTCACTGGATATGGATAACCTACAATGGCAAACAGGCACAAAGTGCAACATTCTCTGCTCCCTGGGGAGTATCCCTAGTCGTTCGCTACTTCTTTAGTGCACAAAACTATGAACATTCAATGCCACAACACCCTACCAGGTACCCATTTATACTACTGGGTAGAGAGAGACAAACGTAGATAAAGTGCCTTGCCAAAGGACACAAGTGAGTTGCACAGCGAGAGTTTCGAACCCCTGACCTCAAGGTTGGGAGTTCAAGCCACAATCGATGCGCCGATCACTTCTACAATGGCTGGTGTGAGTGAACCAGGGAGAACCTGTGAAGACATGATAATGTGTAGGTCCCTTAGTAGAGCATTGTTGGTCTTTGTCAACCATAATCAACCTTTCCTTTTCATTTCAGAACCAGCTATCTTGCATCCTCATCTTCATAATCTTTCCTCTGATAAAAAACGAAAAACAAGAGGTCAGCTCTTACTGTGGCGTGACGTGACTACACCCAATCGCGCTTGCTTAGCATCTGAAACATGCATTTTTGAGCACCAGTTATCAAATCCTAAACTGAAATAATCATGTCTGTATAATTTTTTTTTTAATGTTTTGTATAATTAGGTGTTTCCTAACTTCACTAGATACAATTAAAATTATATTGCCTGACTAGGGAGCTCTTACTACATTTTTATCTTCATAGATAGGTTAGCTGAAAAAGAAACCTATAAGTACTGTTATATTAATTTTGTGTGTCAACTTTTGGTTTGTTTTTCCAAATGTGTTGTATAGAGTATATGATCATGGAACTATCTTCTATCCATATGACTAAGGAAATACAGATAGTAGGATTAATATATTCAAGATATTCAATCATGAAATTCAATGGAAGAAAAATATGATAAGGAATAATAAAAGCTTTCATAAAAACAAACATGATTATCCTGATTAAAGATACAGATTGGGTATTAAGGATTGTTATCAAATGTTCGTGAAGATGAAATTGTATCTGTTTTTTATAATTGAGCATATCAATTACAAAGTCAACTTTTTTTGGGAAAATGTTTTGCATGGTATTAATCGTTACATATAACTACTGTATTAATATTTTAATATCTGTCTTTCATATTGTTAAAGAATTTTGAGATGAGTTTTTCATGAATTGATTTAACAATGATGTTTTATATAAAAAGTTCTTATTTCCATTATAGATATACATTTTTAAAAAGTACTGTACTGTTTTTGAATAAGATATTGAAAGTATAAGGTATCAATTTGGCCAATATCCTGTTAACCCCTTAGTTTCTCAGAATCGCCTGATCTAATGGGGAGCGCATGTTGGTCTTTTACCTCAAATGTATCTTTGTGCGTTACATGCATATATTGTGTGCTCATGCACATGTTTTGTGTGTTAACTTGTGTCCTGTCTGTTGTTACAATTTTTACATTTTTTACCAATGCTTAAGCTCTTCTCTCGCCATATTTGGAGATTATGCATGTACGATGCACTTATGGTCGAGAGGGACATAATCTGTGCATGATCCAAAAATAGTGCCAAATTTGTACACTTGCATGGTTTTTAAGTATTGTACCTTGTATAAATATAGTATAAATGTGTACAGTATAATGTAATGACGGAAATTAGGATACCATGTATGTACAGAGTGGTTGTGCAGACTGAAATGTAACTGCTTAAAATTTAACAAAGTGCAACTACTTCAAATACAACTGTAACCATTATTTATAAGGCACGAGACATGCACATTGCTATAAATTTATATTGCTTTGCAAGTTAAAAATATAATTAAAAAAATAATAATATTTGCTCTCATAACTAGTACAGTATTAAATATTTGCTTTTAAAATTTGCAGTCCCATTTCCCAAAAATTTTCTTTTTTTCTTTTCATTTTTGTGTTATTTATATATCAAGTTTTGCCATTATGTTTTAAATTTAAATACTTACCCATTTTCAATTATAGGGCATTGTTGCATATGCTCTAATTGACCATCAATTATAGAATAGGGCGTACAACAGATGCCTTAAGCTCCAATAATTATAAGCACCTCCGTTCTCTGATGCCCTCCATATCAACTTTTGTAAATGACGTAATTAACTTCAAAGTAAAAATAAAATGGCTAGACAGTAATTGCACACTGTTTAAAGTGGCTACAGCCGCACAATGGTAAAATAAACAAAAACAGTAAAATATTTGTGTAATTAGTTTGTTTTATTAGATTTACAAAATTTAATATTCTTTGTTTAATCCATTGTTATTATGCAGTTGACTGTACAGTAATCAATTATGGTATGAAAAGAACAATGTGTTCATATATGGTATGCTTCCATACATGGTTTCCATCCATATATGGTAATGCATGTTAATGCACTATTTCCCGAACTAATGTCTGGTGCTATATAGATGATGTTATATACTATTGGTATGTGCGATGTTTGCGCAGTTTTTATATAACAAACCTGAAAGTGAAAGACAAGTTAAGAATAATTGCAGCCAATACATAGTAACCATAAAAAAAAAGCTGTTAAATAATATTTCAAAATTTGAAATGTGAGACTGTATAAACTTTCAGTTTCTGGGGTAAAAATATTTCTTATTGTAATGTATACATTACCGGGTATGTAATTTTTATTGTGTGTCGTACAAATAAAGTGAACAATAGTGAAACATATTATGTTGCATAATTTCTGTTTATTACAACATAGACTAGGTAACTTGCGCTTGTACATGGAATAGAGGGTTACTGTATGGTCTTTCCACACACTGTTAATTCATGAATATCATCATCACCCTTTGTTATAATTCCACTTGGTTCTTAATCTATGGGTCTTGATCCAAATTTGTTTTGCCAAATGTGTACTTAAGATCACGAGACTCGTATGATAATGTAGGCCTACATCATCATACTATCCTTGTATGACGTAGGCTTATGTACTCAGGTTAATCCCTGATTTGAACTATTGTCATTTTTAAAATTAATCGTAATTATTGTATGCAGAGGTTAACATCCAAATTTGCAGGCTCCAAACATTAGGGATGAGGTGGGTGTGAACTCTCTAAACAGAACAGAATCTGAAAATAGGTTGCAACTTGAAAGAGTTTTTAGAAACAGAGTTGTAAACATTGTTATCATCCACAAAATAGCTATTGCATGTTCACAACAATATATATCCTATATTTATCATGTCATAACACCCAATCATCAACACCATCTCTATCATCATAAACATTGTCATCATCATATACACCATCTACATTTTTACTGAACGTTGCGGAATTGCTTTCCAAACTGCTATTATCCATTACAAGCTCATACTAATTTTGTGCTTTTGATAATGTAATCATCTTAAGCTTTAAGCCTGATATATGTACACCCAATATCATTATGTATAATAAAGATTGCCCAGAATGCAAACTTAGTACAGTACTGCAAGATCATTTTGGAATACTCTATGTAAGTGGAACAACTGATTAATTATGTAATTCACTGATAGTAGATTAAAGGCAATACTGCAGTGTTGCATCAACATGGAGTATTCACACAAACATTCACATATAGCGTTTCGTAAAGGCTGTTCAGTTAATGTTTATTCTATCTAATACAGTGCTTCATGGATTATTATGCATAGTATTTTGTTTTAAATTTTAAGACGAACAAACACAGCACCAACGGCCGTTAGCCTATGAGCTTCTATGAAGAACACAAGGCAAGGCATGCATAATCAGATTCCCGCTAACAATTGGCAGACAGCGTAGCATAGAAAAGCGCTCATAGAGAGGAGAGACGGATTCGTTAGTACGACCATCAGCCGATACAATGTGTGCCTGGCTTTAAGCTTTACATGTTTGTAGTCCTTGCTCAGTATTTTAAAACCTATCAGCAAAAGAAACACATCGATTGGGCTATTAAGGCATGGATAAGATTACCACAGCCAACGTTACTTTTGGCTCCTTACTACAGTATACTGATTCATTATATATTTATAGAATTTTTAAATTGCATTTCTTATTCATATTAATTGCAAAGCTATATTATTGCAGTTTTTTCTTTTAATTCATTACTTCTAATTGTTTTTGCCATCACCATCTTAACCACATTTTACTCTCAATACACCACCATGAAGTACAGGTACTAGCTATAACCTTCTCTCCAGCAGAGAAGGTACACTATCAATCCTTTGGTTGGAATTGTCACTAGATGATCACTGCCATCCTGAAAGACTTGGTGCATTAGTACTTTGACATCACTTCCTAAACCTCATTTCTGTGACACCATCATTTCATAAACCTCATTTCTTTGACATCAATTTCTGAAAGTTTTTTGCAAATTTACTAGTATCCTGCATTTCGATAAATGCATCTGTCACTAACTCCACAAAAATCTGTGGCCATATTTGGTAGAGCTTCATCTTCTTCTCATCAGCCTTAATTGCTTCACGTGTCAATTGCTTGACATAACTCTTTGCAAAATTCTGACGCACAGTTTGCTCCTGTTAAAGAAAGTATGGGCAAGTGTAAAGAGTGGTTACTACCATTATGTGAATATGTTGGGTTTTAAGAGAAATTCTGTAGATTTATCTTTTCATTTGATTTTTTTCTTGTCTTATCAGTTAAGGCCAACAGTATACAGTATGAGCATTGGTTTAATGAAGTTGATGAGTTTGGTAATGGTGATTGTCGCAACAATAAAAATGTGTTCTTGTTCAGATAATGATGGTAAAACACTATAAACTGCGGTGGCTTTGTGGCTTTGTCACCAATTAGACAGTAGCTTTGTGTTAGAACGCTGAAGATTGTTATGAAAAAATGGTCTCAAATTAGAGGCATCTCAGAATTAGAGGGGGCCGAATCAGAGGATGAACTGTATTTAAATCAACAATTACAGTATTATTGTTTTAGCCTTACCTTCACCATGTTATCAAGCGCTGTCTCTGAATAGTATTGTAGGCCTGCCTTAGTGACATGTTCAAGAGTGGCTTGCTGCTCTGCTGCAAGTTGCCTCTTAGCCTTCAATTCAAGCTCTGTTAGGCCTTGTGTATGCTTACGCCTTACATCACTGAGAAGGCCAAGGGTTCTATAGGAAGGTAGGTGAGATGTTGAGAGTTTACTCAGAGGGGTGAAGAACCTTTGTGCTATGGCTATCATCTCATATGTCACCTGAAACATAATATTAGCATTTTCAATTTTAAACATAAAGATCATTTTAAACATTCAACCATTCTATAAAAACTATACTAAAAAAAATATTTAAAATAATTGTAGTGATAACAAGTTGATATTTAGACATCATATTTTTAAAAAAACTATAATATAACTATACCTCTTCATCATTAATTTTCTTCAAGTGAAAATGCGAGAGCCTATATATTAGATACTGTTTCCATAAACTAAAAGTCGTTATAGGGTTGCCTTGCTTCGATATGGAGAGAGAATCAAGTCGCTTCAAGCTAGTTAATGCATTTAGCTGCTGTAAATTGCATATATTACACTCACCAAATGTCACATTCTGAAAAAAAAAAACCAATTTCTGTATTTATCTGGGGTATGGACAAAGTATGTAAGGTACAATGTAAGGTCACTAGGGCTACACCATAATATTGGGAATTTTAGCAGCAGAGCTTTCAATCTAAGTATAAGTTCAAGCCTCGACATAATGCAATGTCCTTGGGTGAAACACTTTATCTACATAATGCTACTCTTCATAAATGACCAGAACTACAAATGATATTCAAAGACTGAATTTATTTGTATCTATATTGAATTTCCAGTTAAGTTACCAATTACAAAAACTCTGGATGATATTGAAACTATAGCCATAAAAAAAGTAATTATATACAATTATTTGATATATAACTGTAATTTCTCCTAAAGACGATTGAAGCAACTCAATTTAGATTTTCTCAACAAATAGCAGTCCTTTTCAAAACTATCTACGTGGATACTGCAAGCATCAATATATTATTACCTCGCCATGCAAACAATATTCAAACGATATAAAATTACACTTACTGAAACATTCGGAAACCTGACTCTAAGCTTGTGTAGATGTTTCACAACCTTGTCGAATTCAATAAACATAAATGAGACATTGGTGACTGCCCCTGCAGCCTGGATTCCCCAGTTCTTCTCCAAGGAGTCTAATGAGCCGGGACCATAAAGATGTAGAGTATCGCCATCTAGCTCGGCTAGATGGCACACTTCATTTTCGGGAGTACTGCAGGGGAGGAAGAAATCAATCATAATTAGATATAACTTGAATTCAATAAATATTACTTCATAGACCTAATAACAGCTACAATAAAACTAATATTCAGTAATTATAAATTTCATTAATTTTCACATCCATATATGGGAAAATCACAGGTATTTGTCACAGAAAAATTTGATATTGTGGAGAAAAGCTTTCGAAAATAAATATAGGTTGCTAGGGATTCAAACTAATATTTATTCACAATGCTAATTGAGGTAAAGTACCCCAGATCGCAATGAATGCTCCTTGTGCCATATTTTCTTTGAATAAAATGATAATCTGAAAGGTTTGTGGTTAGATTCACTCTGCAGTGCATATCTTCTTGATTTACTTACTACTATTTACTGGGAAGAATATTTTTTACATTCATAATCACTTCAGATACCAATAACACTGATAATCAAAATAATAGATAATAGAAAAAAAATGCTCGTCTTACTTTGCTAATAGATCTGGAGTTGGAGCTTTAGATCGCCTGGAAGCACTTGCTGGTCTGGATATTCTGGCACTAGAGGGCCTCCCACTGGTCGGTCTGCTTGGAGGCTTGTGAAGGATTAAATCTACAGATTTGTCTTCAGACTCTGCTGAACTACAAAAGGAAGAAAATCATGTTTATAATAATTGTATAATTTAGTAAATACCTGTAGCCAGATGTTGTTAGAAGTCTGGTTATCAACCTGGCAGACATCTGGGTCTTAGATTCTCTCTGTGTTAGACATCTTTTTTATTCCCTGGTGGTGAATTTGACAATGCAATCTTATTCTGAAGAGTATACTTTAATTTTAATGTGATGGATGATGTGGATAACAGTTTAAACAACTGTTCAGCATATGATATATATATGCAAAATGTGCAATCATCTTCTGTATCTCCACAGTCATTAATCGAAGACTAGTACAATACTTTATATTGTTCTTTGCAAAACATTAATGAGCAAAACACATATCTTCCTTGATACTTATCACTGATAACATTCATAAAATATTTACTTGAACTGTAACATGCCTTACCTTGGCCTACTGTTTGTTCTCGTGGGGAACAATCCAGGTCGACTGTCTCCACCGCTACTCAATGCCGGTTGTAAGCGTGAAGTTTTTGAAATTGCGACACCTTTACTTATCTCCCACTGCCTGGCAGCATTGTTTATTGCAATCCTCTTCTTTTCCTATAAACAAACCGGACCATGCTATAAATGTGTATGGAAGTTTTATATAAATCTCATTAAAACTATTTCTACTATAGCAAAGTTGTTGGATAGCGTTATACAAACAATTCTTTATCAACCTTTATTTCTCATGTCTTCTAAACCTGTCTTCTTACCTTAAGTATTGCTACCTTGTTGATTTCTCGTTTCTTTTCCTCTTCTTTTCGAGCCAATACACTTGCCATTCTTCGCTCTTCATCCTGTAAAACACCACAGAAATAAAAAAAAAATAACATACATTATCAATCAATCAATCAAAAATCAACATTCATTTGGATTTAGAATTAGAGGCAAATCCTCAAGGAGGCATTTTAAAAATCTCTGGACTAAAACATAATATTTGAGAGGGCTTTAAAAATGTCTATTGAAGCAGACAATCTGTTATTGGGTGCAGTTAATTCTGTATCATCATCCATCGTAAATGTCTTCCATCACTAGACAAGACAATATTCTGCTTCTAATAGGCTCTGTTTTGGGCAGGATGGTTTTGGTGATTAATAGTAACCAGCCAAATAATTTCAATATATTTCCACTTTCACATTTAAGTTATTTTTACCGAATCTCAATGGTTTCAGATGGAAATGGTGTAAAGGTTGAATAACTATTCAAAAAGCAACAAGCATGCTATTCTAAATATAATAAAAGTCAAAAGCTTATTTCTCAATAAATTTTGTTAGTCTAAAGAAGGTGCTACTGTACATATTTCATTCGTAAAATAAACATATTTGTTTACAATCTAAAAAAACTCACAGTAATCCTTTTCATGTCCAATTGTTTTAGATGTATCATATTCCTGAGAATTGTCTGCTTGTAGTAAGAGTCATGGGAAAAAGGGTTGCCATCCAATGACAATTCAGATAACGATGTACTGTCACCCAGACATGCAATGTCATCAAAACTGTTAATACAATATAGAGTTTTCAATTCTAGAGACATGTTTATACGTAGTTATTTTGTAATGAAATTAATATCAATAATAATAGCAGATATACACAGCAATTTATGGTGATTCATTTTAACAAACCTTTCACCAATACTGCTCAGTTAAAATTACTAACCTTGCAATACAGTTAAAGCTTAGAAAAAGTCTTTGAAGGTTGGGTAAATTATCAACATCATCCTAAAAATAAAAGAACACAATATAAGACAGAGAAAAAATATGTGAAAGAATAATGAACAAAGTAATGTACGTAAGCATGAGATGTATTGTAATCCAGACTTCTTTACTTCACACCTGTAAATTTGACACCTGTTGCTAACGATTGCCATAGCACCTTTGAATGTGGAAATAAAAAACAAAAAGTAATAATAATAATAATATATCAACAAAAATTATACTTACTACTGTTGTTATTTTATTTCTGCGTAGGTTGAGTTCTGTTAAAGAGTCCATTCCAATGAGATTATTCACCGTTGAGATATTGTTACCAGCAAGGTTCAACACTCTCAGCTCCTCCAAGTGATTTAGGTTCTCAACATCTTTTATTTGGTTGCCATGAAGGTCAAGGACATCAAGTTTTGATAGTGATTCTAAATTTTCAATCTTTTGTATTCTGAGAGAAGAGACAGAAAACTTAGTTGTTATTAATTTTACATGATCATTAATATCACCTTTACTATTATCAACACCACCAATCAAATTCACCAACAATATTAAAATAATCTTTAAACATTACTATACACATCAACATTATTGTTAACAAATCATAGTCTCATTATCATCTTTCATCAACATTTTTATCCTTCTTATAATCTTTATCACCAGCATCAATAATATCACCATAAATATAATTACATTTCATCTCATCCTCCTCTATCTCTTCCTCACCTTCCCATCCTTCCTTGATCCTCTTCCCCATTATCACTATAATCCTGAACACTACTCACCTATTCTTGCCCAACATCAAAACTCGTAGGGATCTCAGTCCTTCGAGTCCAGATATCTCCTCAATCCTGTTGTCATACAGATCAAGGAAGATGAGTCGGCGAAGACAGTTGACACGCTCAATGGTGATGATGGCATTATGTTGGAAGTTAAGAAGACGCAATGACTCCTCTCCCTCTAAAATTGGACATGCTGTCAAGCGCCTCCTGGAGACATCAAACAATCAAGAACGATAATATATCATGATTAAATCAACATTTCAAATATTAATTTAGATCAACCATGGAGGTATTATTGAGAAGGAGATCACTCGAAAAAGCTACGCACACACAGCACTATGCAAATGAGCCAGGATCAAAGCTGCCGCAGCGCGTGAAGAACGTTTGCGCGATGCTTTGAAGTCCCATGTGTTCCCCGCCTCAAATTTTCAGCAGGCATTGTTTACCAAAAAATTGAACATGGCAAAATGGAGAGCACCTTCTTTTCTCGATGCGCACTACATACAGTTAATCACTATGGCTGCGCAATCGTTTCCATTTTGAAGCTGATACATTTATCTCTCATAAAATATCAAACATATTAATATTTTCCACCAAAAAAAGTTTCAAATTTAATGGAACATTTACATGACCTTTAAAAGTATAGTATA